ATACTCACCGCCGAGGAAGTGTCTGCTGTGTCGGTGCCTGTAGAAGACTGACTCTGTCCGGTAAACTGGTGGCTATTTAAGAACGAAAGACTTCCTCACTTTCACTTGCCAAGGCAAACAACAGACGTTGCATTAATGACACGTTGACCATGTACCAACGTACCTGGTCCAGGACGTTGACCCTTTGCAGTCGTAAATCAATGAACTCCAGGTCAATGACCTTTCACAGTTGTAGGTCAACGAATTCCAGGTCAATGACCCTTCACAGTCTTAGGTCAACGAACTCTAGGTCAACGACCTCATTTGGTAAAAAGAAAGCAGGTCGATGACCTTGACGGGTCAATGAACCCGGAAACTTAATGTTAAACAGGACATTGAACCAGGGCGTTGTCCGTGACATTTACTAAATGGGACACACACAGGGTCGACAACAATCACTGTGCAAGGGCAAAATCACTACCGGGTCTGCCTGCATATAAGCGGGCCTCCGATTTAGGAACCTCATACTCGGCCCCGGCAGCGCACAGCTCTACAAGTCCACTTTACGCCCACCAGCTGCTCTCGAGTCAGCCGACACAACTGCTGCTGCTGCGGACAACAGGCTGCAAGACCACTCCGCATCCTCCGGCCGTCTTCGAGTCAGCCGCCTTCAAGCCGCCTGCACTGCTATTCCCGCAGGCCGAATACTATCAGCCTTCCTTTCCATCTTTTTTCCCCTACAGGTATAACCTTTGGTGTTCACCATCAACCGCCGCTAGACAGCTCCACAAGTCCGCTCTGCATCCCACCAGCCGCCTTCGAGCCAGCCGACACCACTGCTGCTGCTGCTGCGGACAACAACCTACAAGACCCCTCTGCATCCTCCAGCTGCTTTCGAGTCAGCCGGCCAGCCGTCTTCAAGTCATTTGTACAACTACTCATGCAGACCAACTACCAGTCTTCCTCCTCATATTTCTTTTACAGCTACCATCAGCCAATACTGGTGACCACCATCAACCACCAATAGACAGCCTACAAGTCCACTCTGCATCCGCTGGCAGTCAACCCGTCACTCATGAACAGGTGCTGAGGTGATATCAATTCATCTGCAAGACGACTAATAAAACTACCCATGCCACGGCTCTTCCCCCGTGCACCACTCCTGCAATGTAAAACCTGCAGGCGCCCGCAGCCCAACCTGCTGGCGTTAAACACTCATCCATGTACTGATGTTGTAAGGAGTATGTACGTCTGCTACCTCTGCAATGCAGCCTACTTCAAGTCTCAAGAACAGCTAGAGATGCATCTTAGAGACTCCTGTCTCCGCAGTCGAGGACCTCTTATTGTCAGAAAAAGAACCTACACCTGTAATACGGACGACACTAGCATCATACGTAGACGGACAGTCACGCCAGAGACACCTACGCTACCTCCAGACCTCATCCACGCTATGAGTTCCCAGGCTACTGCGAATGTATCAACGACACCAGCAGCACAGCAAGAAAGTAGTCTGCAGGAGAATATTGCAGCACAGCGACAAGACGATCGAGCTACAGAGTCATTGCAGCTGGTCCAAAGTGCCTTTAGAGGATATGCTAAGACGTACGAAATCACGTGCTCCAATCAGTGTGGCATCGAGAGTTTCCTGCAGGCCAGCATTCCCGTCATCCGAGACACCCTTCAAGATGAGCTTCACACTGCAGACGGTATCAAGTTCAACCTATGGCTCGAAGCGGATTATGTCAGTCCGACAGGAGAGATACCCGAGCAGCCCAGAAACTTTAAAACTCCTGCAACTACCATCTACCGGACGACATCGGTAATGGAAATCACAGAACAACTAGAAAATGGAATGGAAAAACTCCAAGCTGAAATGCAAGAACATTCTGGCCGTGGGAGCGGTTGGACGTTGCATCTATCCGAGGTCTACAGCTACGACTGAGCAAGTGCAGCTTCTACAGAACCGCACCGCAAAGGTACGTGAAACTACCAAAGTCGATAAGCATTAAAAGGGCTTGTGTAAATGTAAAAAACGGTGACAACCATTGCTTCAAACATGCTATAATATCGAAGCTTTATACTGGAAACAAATTAGAAATAACAACTGAAGACATAACATTAATCGAGCACTCTTACAACTTTACAAACCTCTTTTTTCCCATGCCTTTGGATGGAATATCAAAATTCGAACGTCAGAACATAGGAACTAGCGTAAATGTGTTCCTATTAGATCAGCAGAATAAGGTCTCACCGTTAAGAATTGTAAAGGAGGAAAAGGCAGATCATTTCGATCTGTTGTTAATCTCAAGCCGCACTGACTAAAACTAAACGAGTCAAGTTGATTTTCTCAAAAAATTTTGTTAAAAATTTCAAGGATTTAAGAAGCTATTTTAGTATTTTTCCAGTTTTATTTTGCTAAAATCATGAGTTAAGTGCGCCGAAACTGCCTGATGGGTAAGTTTTGCTGTTTTATTGGATTTTAGGCTAGTTGAAATTTGAGCACATGTTCTCTGGCCTTTGGCCTAACTCTGGGTGACGTCAGATCAATCATTGTTGGTTAAGTAGTTTGTTTCTTTTGTTTGTTCAATTTTGAGACCTTTCCTGAGGTCCTAGGCCATAATATACCTGAGATATTTGTCTTTGAAAACCACTATTTGAGAGGTTATGTCAAGTCATAGTTATGTCTTTTGTCTGTTAAATTTAAGGCCTAAGCCCACCAAATTGTTCATTTTGTGTAAATGTCATAGGCTACTACTGTTTAGTATCAATGTTTTGTTTTCTGTCCCCTTGTAAAGTTGGCTTTGTTGAGTTATAAAATTTTTGTTGTGTCACCCTGTCTAAGTGTTTTAAATTAAGTTCTAGTTTAAGTTCTGTTTGTTTCAATTCGCCAAACTAGTCATTTTTATTTCTATTAAGTGCTCATAAATGTCCCCTGAAAGTTTGGACTAATTTTGTTAAGAAAGAATTTATTTATGAGCATTTTTAAGTTTGGCACCTTTTCAGTCAGGTGTTACCTAGGTAACCTGAAGTCCAGCTGACCTCAAGTTTGTTTTTAAGGCTTTGTATGGTCTGGAAAAGCTGCTGGAATATTTCCCCCAGCTTTTAATACCATTCCGAGCAAATTCTGACAATATTTTCTCAAGTTATTGACAATAATGCATGCGAATGTCGCGCCATGCTGAAAATTTTGTGTTACACTGAAAATTTGATTTTAAAAGTATTTGTAATTGTTTTTCTGTGAATGTTTTGTTGTTTATTTGTTCTTGTGGCCACCCTGGACCAGTAATTACTAGCCTATTGATTTATAGGGCAATATTTTTCCAATCAGTATCCTCAGCACTCCTGCCGGCAATTTGTTCAATTAAAATTCATTGTTTGTTAGGCTTAAATTAATTCTCTGTCTGTTGTAAATTATTTATTTTGCTTAGAAACCTTGTTAATTAATTTAAGAGCTGAAAATGACTTGTTGGAATTTTTTTTAATGAAAATGCAACAGTAGGCCTAGTGTGAAAAACTAAAAAAAAAAAAATAAATAAAACAAAACTGGTATGAGTGGTAGTGATTTGTTGTGAACTATGGATTTCACTGTCTCTACTATATTTTCTGGGTTGTGTCAACCAGGGTCCCGGAGGAGAGCCATCTGAACTTCTTGGGTTTCGGCGTAGAGACATGTTCCATTCTGGCCTACCTTGGACTCTGGCCTTCTCTCCGCCCAGCTTCACTGCCCCTCCGGACGTAATATGCTACTTTTATTCTATTAGCTATTTTTATCCATGTAGCCTAAATTTCAATGGTTACAATACTCATTAAAAAAATTCAAATTTTGGTGAATATATGACTCAGTTGGTAGTGTCGCAGACTTTGGGCCCATGGCAGCAATGGGTTAGCTTCCTAGTCACTGACGCAAACTGTTATCAGTACAGTTTACCTTTTTACTGTACTGGCTCACCCGTTGCTTTGCGGGATACGTTCACGCACAGACCGCATAGCATAAGTTGTAGGGTAAATATGTAGTTAAAGCGGCCGTCTGTTTACACTGAGAACAAACGCAAATTACAATGTAATCTTCATAACTATAGACTGACTGTGCCTGTGAACTGACTCATCTATCCCTTATAGAAGGCAACAAAAGTTAGATCATTCGTTGTTATAGCTATAGCCTTTATTTTAATTTAATTTAATTAATAATTAAATTGTACCCCTTAATTTTCACCCTAACACTACATATCAATTGTGAGTATTGTAGTTGTCTGTGCCAATAACTTAGCCGTATTACTACCAATTCTCGAATATCACGTGTTGTAATTATAATAATATTTGGCGTACATATTGTTATTGCAGTTATGTGGGAGATAAATCAATACTTGTTGATTTTTTTGTTGCAGGAAAGGATGAGTCATTTGTGCACAGTGTAGGAACAGCAGCAGGCTGATTGAAGTCTTGCAGTTAATTATGAATACGGGTAAAATGTCACTTATGACTTACCTACAAATTTTTTGTTTATTATTTTTATATATTATTCACATAAATAAATGTAATATCTCCAATGACGCTTGCATGTATTATATTTGTCCCCTCACAAATTGTGTTATGTGTAAAGCTATTGTTAAAAGCTTTTTTTAACTTAACTTTTCATTCAACACAGAGCTGTCTTTTGCTTAGGCAGAGTATGGGGTGAAGTTTAATGAGGCATTATTAAAAAAACTAGTGTACGTAGTTTTACAAGAGTTATCTCAAAACAAGTAACAAATGAAAAAAAAATAATGAGGGTATAGTACTTGGACAATCTTACATCAGTAAATGGTTTTATTCCACAATAATACCACAGAAATTAATTGGTATACTATTTACTACAGTAATACAGCGTAATACTTATAACACAAAAACGGTATAAAAACCAGAGACGTCCCCACGGCAGTAGGGACATCTGTTGTCCAACCCTAGTTCCCGTAGGGCACCCACACAAGCCGCACATCCACATAAATGCCCGCAGGGAATTGCAACTATAGTTGCCTGGTTGACTATGCACATAGTGCACAGCCCTGGTTCTCGAGGATCAACCGGTGGCACAGGAGCTGGGGCTGGTTCATGGGCTGGTCCTGGGAATGGTTCATGGGCTGGTCCTGGGAATGGTTCATGGGCTGGGGCTGCATCATGGGCTGGTCCTGGGAATGGTTCATGGGCTGGTCCTGAGGCTGGTTCATGGGCTGGGGCTGGTTCATGGGCTGGGGCTGGTTCATGGGCTGGGGCTGCATCATGGGCTGGTCCTGGGAATGGTTCATGGGCTGGTCCTGGGGCTGGTCCTGGGGCTGGTTCATGTGCTGGTCCTGGGGCTGGATTATTGGCTGGGGCATGGGGTGCTACTGGGGCTGCAGCTGGTGCCGGAGCTGGTGCTGGTCGTTCTGCTCTTGCCTGTGAAGATAAAGCCCAAATTATAATTGTAAACAGTAGAAGCAAAAAAACAAATTAATAATATGGCTTTCATATTAATAAGCTTTGTCAACTAACATGTGTTCTGAGTAAACAATGACATTCATAAGTCAATTACAATTGTTTAATAACTAAATTCAATATAAAAATTACAAACCCTTGCTCAAGCCGGACAGAGGCTTGATGGATTATGTTGTCCTGCCGGACGTAAGCCCGATTTCTCGGCCTGACGTGTCCAACTTGGTTGCGGACTCTTGAATATTCCATCCATTGGTCCACCTCAACTAGGCTCAGTTTATCTGAAAATTATAGTATATGATTTAAATTTTAGTGAAATGGTGAAATGGTGAAATTTTCTTCATATATTATATGTATATATATTTTCTTCATTTTCTGCCCGCCATGTGACTAATATTAATGTTGTTAGTTACTAACATTCATTCGAGAATTATTAACCATCTAAAAATATCTTTCTTTTTAAATACAAAATTTGCATTAACAAACACGTATGGGCTCTAAACAAAGGACTCTGAACAATTAATGTCATTATGTTATAGTAATATAAGTTAATAAGCAACATACTGTGAAGCTCCCAAACAGCAGGACGTTCCCCAATGCGGTCACGCAGATGCCTGTAAAAACTTTCCAGAGCGTTGTTTGTTCTGTGGGTTTGCCGAAACACACTGAACTGCCTGGCACCAACAAGCCTCAGCCAGTAGTTGTCTATGTACCTGTTTCAGTTTGTAGGGTTATTAATAATTCTAACGTAAATTAAATTAGTTTGAGATATTTTAATATTTTTTTATCAGACTGTCACATGAATAATTATTGCCAGTGTAAAGGAATTCAATAATGTCATTGTAATTCGAATTGGTTTTACATATTTTTATTTCTCAGACAAAACAGTTTAATTATTGCCAGTAAGACTTGTATTTATAATTAAGACTCTCTAATTAACTATTTCACAAATGCTATAAAAGTTTCTCATTAATTAAGTACACCAGCATCAACTAACATTTTAAACATAATCTTTTTTAAATTTGCATCTTGTTAAGGAAATAAATATAAACAAATGTTAAAAAAAAGATATATATTATTATATATATATATATATATATATATATATATATATAATATATATATATTACCCCAACAATGGCCTGAATATGTTCTCTAAACCATGTTGTTGGACGTAGAGCTTAATTACTTCTACTCCAGTAGAATGTGTCATAACGTATTATGATAATAATAAGATTCATAAGACGTACATGAAAAGACACAAAAAACAGCTTTAAAATTTACAATGGGAAGGGAAGTCTACTTGTGGTGTTGGTTAGTTCATGCTTTTACTTCAATAATTTATAGACTATTTTTGGCCAATAATAAAGATTTACTATTATTAATTTGAGCTGGTGTCATTTTGCCTGTCTACCTGTCACGAGTAATGTGCTTAAAATATATAACCAAAATTAAGGACAAGTATTGTCATTATAACTGTAAATACCTCAGGAATATTTATTTTCCTGACTTTAAATCCAGCTACGCCTTTTGAACTTTCTGACTTGAAGGGATGAGGTTTTTAATTATTGTACATTCAGCAGCGATGTTGTCCATGGTAGAATGAGAAAATAATAATATCTGCTTTTAACATGGCATTGTTATGTGAACAAAAACAATTTTTTAGAAATTCTGAATTATGTACAGGTGTTTATGTCGATTTACTTAAAGTTTCTTATTTAAATACTTACTTCATGCATGTACTCAGCATGAACAGTCAACAGCTGATAGGCATTAAGCTCCTGTGGCAACACCTTAAAAGTGGCATCCATATGAAGCCTTGTTGTCTGCTGGATAGTGAGGGCATGCTGGAGCCTCGGGGAAATGTAAACAGCAGCAGTGAAGCCGTCTTCCTCGCCTCCAATGAGGCCACGAAAAAAATCTTCACCGTCTGCTCCATCGTGGACTCTCTTTAAGTTTACATACTGCGGATAATCAAGGATTGCCGCAAACTCAGCCAACGAATGAGGAATCGGCGGCTGGCCTTGTCTCCGCAGACGGTACAGGGTCGATCTTATGGATGGGAACCCGATCAGAGGTGCAGCTAGTGGGAACCTAGAAAAAATTAAAATTTAGCTGTTCATAATTTGTGGGAAATAATTTTTTCAACAACAATTAAAAACTACAGTTATCCTGAAACAAGAAACTTTTTTGAATACCTTCAATTTTTAAAGTTTTGGTTTCTGAGGCCACAATTTATGGAACATTAGTGGATAAATTTGTATACATACTTTTCACTTAGAAGGTAAACTATTTACAAGGTAAAGTATTTTTTAAATCCCATGTTATTCTTATGGAGAAAAAGTCAACTGTTGCGGGTTTTCTATTTTTGAACATATTTTGATCAATTTTGGAAAGTGCATTCTTTTAGCGAATTTCCCTATAGGGAAGTAGCTATTACCGTAGGTCTCATGGTAAGACCTGGACCCGGGAGCGATTTACTTTTTTGTTTTGAGGTCCCCAGAGGCCAAAAACACCATCCTTTCAAAATGTTATATATGTATATCTAAGTTTTACTATAGTTAGTGAGTTTTTCAACAAGTTCGATTTTCGTCTTTTGGTTAAAAACCAAAATCTATCCGATGCACTTCTAACTCATCTTCAAGATCAAATTGATTGGGGTGTTCTAATCCATCATCAAGATGTGCCTGAACGCTATTTATACAAACACTAGAACAAAATAAACATTAATGTATTGTTGAGAAACAAGAAGATATCTAAAAAAATATAACTTGGATTCTATTGAATGATCAGACAACTCAACATCAAATATGGCAAAATTTAGTACAATATCAAGATTTAACAAAAGAGCAAATGATGTTAATACATTCAAGATTGAACCAGGGAGATGAGTATTTTATACATCAATTTGGAAATCTTATAAGCAGGTATCAACAATTGGACTCTTTTCTTCTAGTTATATTTAAAAACATATTACACTGGCCTACAATTTCATTATATCAAAACATAATTGACTTTGATTTAATTAGATATTGTAAATGGATTGATTTTAAAACATCTTACAAGGAAAATTCCAATAAGTGATTTTGTCAAGCAACATATCCCAAAATAATATACAGAATCAAACACATGTATAAAGTGTCCAGTTTGTTTGGCAACAATGGATAAAAATGCGGTCTTACTATGTGACCACACATTCTGTAAAACATGTATCAAAGAATGGTCGGAAGGCCATAGTACTTGTCCACTCTGTAGAAATCAGATTGAATTTCCAACGATTCTGTAAATATCTCCACTCTGCCAAAGACAATGTATTTTCCCTCCTATTGAATCAATATTACCCTTCAAATTTTGTAAATATTCGCATCCCACAGAAATCACTTTTATAAATAGTATTTTATTTGTAAATGTCTAATCCTAACTCTACTAATTTACAGTTATATCCCCACCCCACCAATTTACAGTTATATTAATTCCTCAAGATATAAATTACATTATAAAGTGTTTTGGATTCTTGATTCTAATATTGAAGCTACATTACTTACTAAAGAAGAAAAAAAGATCATTGAAAAATATTTTTAAACTATCAATTGTACAATCAAAATTTTATGAATTAAATGCAAAGTACAAGTTACCAATTGAAACTTGATATCATTTTTAATTAGCAGCTTTCCATTATAAGAACAACATTCCGTTTGGAAAAAAGTGTCAACAAAAAGAAAACACATAAGAAAAGACAAAATAAGTTTGATAATTAATAATGAAATGAATATTGACCCATTACAACACAATGAGAACCTTGAAGGATCCTTGGAACAAACTAAAAATCTAGGTATAATTGCAAAATTCCATGATGATGATGAACCAGAATATACAGGGTGTTGAAAATGTCTGGAACCAACATTATATCTGGTGAGTGGTTAAAGAAAAACAACTGATATTTTGTATACTGATATACTATGGTTTTACCTATCTTTTGGTGCCTTATGAAATTTTTTACCACTTATAGGGAACGTCCCGTAGAGGATGCAGTAAAAAGTTTTAATGGAAGCCTATGGTAAATGATACATCATTTTAAAGGCCATTTTTTTCTGAGTAAGGAGCCACAAGTTTCATCTCAAAAGGACCACCCTAGCAAAAATGGCGACTGTTTGAAATTTAAAAACCCACTTATAGGGAACGTCCTGTGGAGGATGCAGTAAAAAGTTTTAATGGAAGCCTATGGTAAATGATACATCATTTTAAAGGCCATTTTTTTCTGAGTAAGGAGCCACAAGTTTCATCTCAAAAGGACCACCCTAGCAAAAATGGCGACTGTTTGAAATTTAAAATTCAATTATTTTCAAAAACTTCAAACAGTCACCATTTTCGCTAGGGTGGTCCTTTTGAGATGAAACTTGTGGCTCTGTACTCAGAAAAAAATGGCCTTTAAAACGATGTATCATTTACCATAGGCTTCCATTAAAACTTTTTACTGCATCCTCCACAGGACGTTCCCTATAAGTGGTAAAAAATGTCATAAGGCACTAAAAGATAGGTAAAACCATAGTATATCGGTACACAAAATATCAGTTGTATTTCTTTAACCACTCACCAGATATAATGCTGGTTCCAGACATTTTCAACACCCTGTATAATTCCTGAAGTGTACCCTCCAGAAGATAAATCTTAAATACTGATTGCCAGCTATGAAGAACTAATATTTCAAATGTTCACAGGGTAAAATGAAAATACAATTATATTATAAATAAATTTTAAGATAATTATAGTTTAATTACTATAATTAACAAATGCCACCCCCCTCCAATATTTTCAACCCCCCCCCCCCCCCCCCCCACCACTACAAGTACAACCCCCAATTGAATACTCGGGGAAAAGATAGCCTCAGATTGGAATTCAACTAGTA